TGAAAGCAGATAATGAATAAAAGATTTAAAAGTTTACCATCCACTTGGGTGCTGGTGAGATAAAACAGCGGGCAGGGCACTTGCCTTATACACAGCTGACTTGGGTTTGATTCGTGGCATCCTATGTGGTCCCCTGAGCCCCACCCAGAATGATTCCTGAGGGAAGAGTTAGGAGTGACCCTGGAACATCACCAGGTGTGGCCCCAAAACAGCAACAAAAAGTTTGGCATTCACATTTTTTATTGGGGGAAATATATACTTAGAAGCTAAGCAGCTGCGGGCAAACCCTGGCATAGGAACTCCAGCAGAGGCTCGCTTTAACTTGAAATGCAAGCGCGGGCACTACAACGTCTCTCTTACTTTCCTTTCTATGTGTGAAAGTGTGAAAGTATGGGTCGTCTCTCTCCCCCCTCCCCTGATTACTCTTCTCTCTTCTTCTTTGCCCCTCCATTCTGTGTATACTTTCTCCTTTAAATTCATAATAAAATCACCTGATAGGTGATTCTGGACTAATTTTATAGGTAAGTAGCGGCACATCTGCTGAATAGTTGGGGTTATCCAGCTGTTGAGAGATGGGCCTTGGACTTGAACCAAGACTTGGACTTGTCCAGCTTGTATTCCTAACTAGTCTAGTCTATAGATTTTCCTGAGGAGAGGTTCTTATTGTTTACAGAGCTTTTACTTTTGAAGACTCGAAAATAATAACTACAGACTAGTTTTTCTGTTTGTTTTGATTTTTCGGGGAGGGGAGACACACCTGACTGTGTTCATGTTTACTCCTGGTGGTTTGGGAAACCACATGGAGGTGACTGGGATCGAACCCCGGTCAGGTTGTGCTAGCTCTCTGGCCCCTGAATGCACACTAGTTCTTGCATTTATATTTTTATTAAAGCCTGAACACGTGATAGCTTGTATTCATCTGGCCCATATATATATTCTACACTCTTTTGAACAATTCAGATTCGTTTCCTGTGGTGTATAATCTTGGTGCAGCTAACGTTCATCAGATCTGGCTGTACTGCTTTGTGACTTTGCCCATGGAGGGGATTCTCAGGGTTTTATTTGCCACGTCCTTGAGGATTCAAAGCATTCATCAGGTATTTAAGGAAAGATCTAAAACATGTTGGTAGAAATGACACTAAACTGCAGTGTGTCCTAATGTCCTCCGGGAGTAATTTACTGTGTGAATTAGAGTTGCAAAGAAAATGAAGGTAATGAGTTTTGTTGATTTCCTGGGAGAGCCAAGGTGAAATATATTGTTTGTCTGCAACTTACCATCTGGTGGCTTTCGCATGCACCCTCTCTGTCAGGGAATCTGGGACCTGGTGTTTCCGGTCCTGTGTCCTGTCCGGGCTGCTCTGATTCATACCTGACCTAGTGGGCAGCCTTTGCCCCTGCCCGGATTATTCAGTGCAGCAATCCTAGACCCATACCTCCAGTCATGACCTCTGGGTTCTGGATTTTTCTCTCTATGCTCTAAGCCTGCAGGACCCGAGATGCTGCCTGTGGCCAGGATGGGAGTGGCCCCGTGGTAACTTCCAGCTTCCAGTCCAGACTCAAGGCTGAAGCCAACTGCTTGTTCTCACAAAGTCCCACCTCCCTGCCAGTATCTCTTCCCCTGGAACTCGAATTGAATCAAGCTTCTTGTTCAGAAACCATGATGGTAGCCCTTCCTTGAGCTTGGGAGATAAATCCCTCCCCAAATCCATAATTCATTAGCCACTTTGGGGAAGACCTGGGTGCTGTCTCCATGGTTTCCCCCAGTTACTATCTGTGGTTGTGGATTTCTTTGCTCGGGACCTTAGAAGGAGCTGTAACATATGGCTTCTGCATGGATGACTTGCTTTAATTACAAATTAACACTATCAATAGCACTAATGTGCTAGATCAGCGGAGAGCCAGACTGTGCCAGGGGATCTTAAAGAAGGAGCGGTTACAAAGGCTAGCTTTATGTACAGTGTTCCACAGTTTGTTTATTTTTTTAAACTTTTCATTTGGTGTATTTCAAGCTGACCAAAGGGATGGGGGGCGGGAAAAGAAAGGATTTCAACGAAATAAAACTGATCACGAGGGTGAAATTTTTCAGGAGGGATGCCACTGTGTTCTCTCTAGATTTGAGGAGACAATCAGCTCATACTTACATTTAATTTTTGTAATGGATCCTTCTTCAATTATTTATTTCCCACTTGTGCCAGTCTAAACTCTACAAATCTTTACACATATTATCCTTAATCCTCACAGCAGCTTTGCCAGGTAAGTATTAGTCATTCACTTGTGTAAGCAACACATATTTGTGTGTGTGTGTGTGTGTGTGTGTGTGTGTGTGTTAAGCAGTTGTTAGGAGCCTGCCTGTATACTGGATAGTGGGATTAGAACAGTGAAAAGACCGTCTGATTACTATACCCTTAAGATATTTCCCATTGTTGGACTGAAGGACAAATAAGCAGATCTTTTATAGGTCCTTATACATTCTTTTTGACGTGTACATTTGCGCAAATTCTTAAAAGAGCAGTGGTTTTACCTTTTTTAAAAAAAATTAATGAAATACCATGAGATAGTTACATGCTTTCATGTTTGGGCTACAATCACACAATGATCAAACACCCATCCCTTCACCAGTGCACATTCCCCACCACCAGTATACCCGGTATACTCCCCTTTCCCACCCTCCCCTGCCTCCATGGCAGACATGATTCCCCATAGTCTCTCTCTACTTTTGGGCATTATGGTTTGCAATACAGACCCTGAGATGTTATCATGTTTGGTCCTTTATCCACTTTCTGCACACATCTCCCCTTCCAATTGATTCCTCCAGCCATCTTTTTCTTCTCTATTCCAGCGGCCTTCTCCTCTTTGCTCATGAGGCAGGCTTCCAGCTATGGAGCAATCTATTTGTCCCGTGTATCTACTATCCTTAGGTGTCAGCCTCATATTAATGTTTTGACCCACTCTTCCTCATCTAAGAATCTCTCCTTTGGCAAATAACCTTCAGACAACCGGAAGAGGTTTTGGCAAGGACAGCAAGCACGGTATTGTTCTAAGTAGCACAATGTTGAAAAAGCTCCTTGGCTGAGAATAGCCTCTTACACAGGCACATGCAAACCAGAATGCAGATATTTATGTTGGATGCAACTGCCTGGTTAAACAGACAAAAAGCATGCTGTAGGAAACTACATAATGGGATCACATTGTTACAATAACAATAAGGAAAGGAAAAAAAAATTCTACAAGAGCAGAGTAGCCGCGCCTTCTTCCATGAGAAGGTGGACAGTGGCCATGGGAGCCGCTTTGTGGCTTTATGCATCATTGTTCTATTTTATGCATCATTGTTCTGTTGCTTCATTTTGAAACAGAAAACCTGGGTCCTCTTGAAATACTTGAAGCAGAAATAAAGTTTTTTAGGGTGATTGGTGTTAAGGTATTTACAGCCCCAGTTCCATGGGGACTCAAGGACACAGACTGTTGGTGAAATGACATCCCAGCCAGCCTTCTCATTGCTCACCAGGTGACTGAGAACATCCAGCTTACACTCCCCGGTCCCTGGTCCTTTGTCTCTCTCCCTTTATCCCCCTTGTCTCACCGGCTCTCCACACGACTCAGGCATCTTTTCAAAGTGCAGTTTTGATCTTTTAGCTTCTTCCCCGTCTATTGATCCCTCATAGATCTGGGACCGAATCCAGCTTTTTAAAGCAGGCTCACAGGAGCCCTCCCTGCCTCTCCAGCTGCGACTCTGATTTCTGGTCCCCCGAGTTACTGTTTCTGTACTAATGCACTCTGCTCTTTTCACAAGAGGTTGGCATAGGTGTGGAGAGACCTTCCACTATCCATACTGCAGCCTTGGTCTCTTGGTGTCTTGCGAATATTCTAACCAGTTACCGTTCTCTTTCCTAGGAGTTAATGTCTGTATGTTCCCAAACTGTCTGTATTGTTTCTTAGGTAAATTAAAAATTATTTAGAGCTAATCATCTCTTAACACTCCTCGGGAAGATTTTTATTTGTAAAATCTCTTGAAGAAGGATTCTAAAGCAGGAGAATCTGGTAATAATTGTGTTGTCTCTCCCAAATCCGGATACACTCCACCTTTATAGAATACACACTGTGCTGAAAATACCACATTGACTAAACAGACTCTATTTGCTTTGGCCAAACTTAAAATTAATGGATGGGCTCAGCATAGAAGGAAAGATACAAAACTCAGTGACAGTGGGTACATTCACTTAAGATGTGCTCCATTGTACCCTTCCATTGTACTAAAATACTGATCTTTTATCTCTGCTGTTTAAAATTTACTTTAATTTTTAGGTAATTTTCAAATAAATAAACTCTTCAAATAAGAGGTTGGCTTCATCCTGTTTCTTGTTATATTGTCGATGCAGACTAGAGAAATAAACTATGATCTAGCGCCCCCTCCTGGAAAAATACGTGAAAAACCCAAGGAGTTCGCTTTCTTCTGCAGGGGATTAGGCTGGAAATTGTTGTGGTTGTGAGTGGGAAAATAACAGGAAAAAAAAAATTTCTAACAGATACACAGTTGTATAGAAAATATCCATAAAAATTGGAGCACATTTTAATGAAGATAAACAGTAAAATGGAAATTGTAAAATGCAAAGTAATACTAACATCATTGCCGGGCATGAGTATATGACTGTGGAGATCACGGTGTGCTATAAAGTCAGAGAAAGACTTCACCCTACTTCTTGAATTCTGGTGGGGAGGGGAATGGTTGTTTGGACCACACCCAGTGGTGCTTAGGGCTTGTTCCTGGCTCTGTGCTCAGGGATTACTCATATTCTTGGTGCTCTGGGTACTGTATCTGGTGCTGGGGGTTGGCTCTGAGTCAGCCATATGTGAGGCAAGTGCCGGACCTCCTATGTTGTCTCTGACCTCTGTTCTGCACTTTGGTGAAGCCTATTTTTTCCTGCTATTATTATTACTATTATTTTGGAAAGATTTTTAAAAAATGCATTTCAAAGTAATACTTTCTCCCCCTTTACCCCCAGGTTATAGAAACTTTATCACGACTCTCTCGCACACCTATAGCACTGGCCACAGGAATCAGGTAAGCTTGTTTCATTGTGATTCATAAAACTCATTCTCTTCACTACTTGCAAAACACTTTGCAGACGATGGTTGGCATTTATATCAATGATATCATGCAGAATACCTGGTATATAATTGCCCCGAAGACATTGGAAATGGAACAAGAAAGGACTTATTCTCAAGTTGAATAAGGCACTTGGGGTAAACTTTAGTCTCAATTTCCTAGTGACTGTCATGGTAAGATCCTTTGTAAAACTTCCTCCAGTATCTCTGTATCAGTGATTGATTCAGGTAAACAAAGATGCTCAAGTAAATAAAAATTTAAAAATATGTCATAGTGCATTTAAGTTTCTGTAGCTCCTAACATTAACCTGCAACATTTAGGAGTTTAAAAAATAACCAAGTACGTACTAAAATATGTGTACTAGGAGGTGTGCTGAGAATTAGTATTAAATAAAAATCTTGGAAGGGAATTGGTTAAGTTGTACCATCTCCATGAAGTGAAATAATTGTGTAATCAACGACCACTAGAACATTGCATATGTATGTTGGCTTGGACTTTTTCTCTTTAAAATGCTACATATTCCAATCATGCAAGCCAGAAAGTTGCAATATTAGTACCATTAGGGAAAAAAAGTGGTTTCAGCCCTCACTTAGCCAGGCCACCCAGAGATGGAACGGGTTTAGTTTCTTTCTTTCTCTTTTTTTTAATCCCTGTATCTTCAGGACTCTACACTTCTGTCTCTATGGGGCTCCAAGACGTGGTCTCTTCCTCTGTTGCTCGAGTTTTTCTGTTCAGTTCACACTCATGTTCTGAGGGAGTGAATCCAAACAGTTCCAAAAGGCACAGTTCATTCCCTGGGTAGAAAGGAAGTGACCTTCAGGCGAGATGCTGCAGACTCTTCCTCAGACTTTTTCTCAAATGGGAATTTGGCAGCTTTCTGCAGATGTAACCTGTAGGCTGGAGCAGGGAACCTAGTTATTTGTTCTTCAGCATACCATTAAAATAAATACTAAAGAACCATATTAAATAAAAAGAACCTTGTTATTTGTTCTTCAGTATACCACTACCTTTCCATGCCAATACAAAGTTTAAGAGGTTGTAGGTAAACATATTTCAAAAAAGCAATGTCCAAATTGATATATCTATTTTTATTCTGAAAGTATGTATCAGAAGGATTGTTTTGTTATTCTTATTTTTCATTTTTCCTACAGTAGATTTCTCTCTGTATAAGGGCCTTATAAAATGTGCTTATATTTATTGTTTTAAAGATTTTGACTTTTTGGCATGTTCCCCCTTTTCTGGTGACCTCCCAAGAAGTACTCAGGGGGTGCAAGAGCTTCTCTAGCTTTTAGGACTAGTGGAGTGCTAGGGCCATGGGCGTGGTTCTGCTGTCCCCAGGGGCTGTGGCCCAGCAGCGCCACACTCTGTGTCACCTTGTCTCCATGGAGACCTGAAGATTAAACTCAGGCACTTAACTCAGTGCACACGTGGCCTTTTCTCCAGCCTTCTGAGCTGTCTCCCTAACTCACATCCTTTATTTGAAATACTATAGCTTCACTGTAGCACAGTCCTCCCGTTGTTCATCTATTTGCTCAAGCGGGCACCAGTAACGTCTCCATTGTGAGACTTGTTGTTACTGTTTTTGGCATTTCGAATACACCATGGGGAGCTTGCCAGGCTCAAATACATGTTCCCTAAATGTTTTAATAGTAAATCTGTTCCTAAACCAATGTAAAAAGCTTCTTTTCCATAAACAGAATTATTGTGCTTATTTGTCATTTTGATGTATCCTCTTATTTCTATGAAACATACTGGTCGCATGTAAAAGACTTAAAGCCTTGGAATGCATAGTGTATGCAAATCAACCATGATTTCCATTAGACATAAATTTGGGGCGTTGTTTTTGGTATTACAAGAAATAGTCCCTCATGGTAACCTGAGGCAATTACAAGTCCATAGCTGGGAGGAGACAATATATTAGAGTAATTTTCTTTGAACAAGGAACAAAAATGCACCTGACTCTTTCTTCAGATGGGGCTGATTCATTTGCTAAATAAGATGACATTTTTAGAAATACAGCTTCCACGCCTTAAAATCCCAGCAGAAAAGCATAGCAGAGGCAGCAATAAAGGGCACATTATTTTTGTCTTATAATTTTCATCTCGGCTGGTGAACTGAGCCATGAGAGGATGCTTCTTACCATATCGCTTGTCCGCTCTGATTCTGTCCCAGCCAAGAGATTGGGCTAAAGGTAAGGGCACGCACGGCTACCCGTGCTCTGGAGCCTGCACTGCAGTGGGCGTGTGGCTGGAGGGAAATCTGAGCTGTGTCTGCGTCTCCACTTCACCCATGTTGCCGCAGGGCCAGCATCGTGGCCCTGGTGATCTGGCAGTTTGTGCTGCAACTTCCGTGCAGACCACCCAGACACCAGCCCAGGTCTGGCACCTTGGTGGAAGCCCCGGTGTTGGTTTTGGTGATTGGGTTTGACCACTTTGCAGCAGACAAGGTTATACGTTTGTGTTTGTTTGGGGAGCACACCTGATGGTGCTCAGGGCTTACTCTTGGCTCTGCACTCAGGGATCACTTCTAGTGGTGCACAGGGAATCCTAAGGGGGGGGGGGGGGGTAATGAAGATCAAGACTGCAGAGCAAGCACCTTACCTGCTGCACTATATCTTGGGGTAGACACTTTATAAGAGCACTCAGCCCAGATGATGTCTATTCACCATTCCTCTCTTTCTCCCTAGGCCCTTCCCAACCGAAGAAAGCATCAACGATGAGGACATCTACAAAGGCCTACCTGATTTAATAGAGTATGTTAAGCATCTTCAGCAAAATTAAATCACTGCCCGTTCTTTGCATCCTTGGTGAAGTTTAATGGGTGGATGTTAAAAGAGCTCGGATGGGGGAAAATGTGGCTTCTTGATTAAAAATGAACCTCATGCCGGTGATGGAAAGTTTCACCAGTGGCTGTGCTTCAGCCGGTCACGTTTCCTTCCCATCGGGTGCCGTGCACTGCACAGGGCCCTGTGAGGAGGAGGTGCAAGAGGTGACATGTGAGCGAGTCTCACAAGGGCATGATAGAACTGGACTTAGTTGAGGAATAGCTCAAAAGGGAAAGCATGCATGTGCGGCTAGAGTTGGACAGATAATAAGTTCAAGAAGGGCAAGAAAAGCATTGCCAGGAGTGGTTCCGGTGTGTTTTATTAGGTGTTGTCTATTTTCTGCAGAGGATCCTTGTGGCTTTTGTTGTTTGATAGTCAGGAGAAGCCAAAGATCCTTGCAGCTGATTATCATCTGCAGGCTGAGGGACTTGTGCAGATTATAAATAAATAGACAGCACCGTCCTTACCCTTCAAGGAACTGATGACAAAGAGCATGTATGTTGCCAGAGAGTTGAAATTAGAGATATCTGTTGCATAGAAGAGATTCAAATTCTATGGAAATCCAGCTTTTTAAAAAAAAAAATCGATTCACCCGAATACACGAACACACTGAGCTTTTTCCTGCTTTAAGACATTTACACGTGGTGTTCTTCCTGTCCAAGCGGCCAGCTCCTCTCACTCAAGATCTTTGCAGTTGTACAGTGAGGCTTCTGGGCTATCCCATGTGAAGTCACTGCCACCTTTATCTTGCTCTGCTTTTATGGCATTAACCAGTGCCTGAGATAATCTTTCTTTGCTTCATATGTGTTTGTCTTCTTAATAGAAGGTAAACTTCGTGAAGACTTTTTTGACCCACTTTCCTGGAACTTCGGTTAGTTCCTGGTATATAGTAGTCCTCATTCACTGCCCTCTTAAATTTTTTTTTTCTGAGTGAATAAGCCAGAGCTTTGCTATAATGGCCATTTTTTTTGCCAGCCATTATGTTTCTGGCCTGAACTATCTAGGGAGTTCATAAGAGCATCTTGAATCCCTGATTCTGTGCTAACCGTGCCACCTGAACTGCACTATCTTATGAGGTACCACAATATTGTGAGGTGTTATTTATTAGCAATGACAATTTACTGATGAGAATACGGAACACTGAGGAGCGAAGTGGATTGCTAAGGGACATACTGCTTATGTCCAAAGAATAAATAGTGCTCTTGTACTTCAACCCAAGCAGTTTGTATTAGTGGAAGGTCTCCTGAGTGTGAAGGCTTCTCAACTGAGGCCCAGCCTCAGTCCTGAAGCCTCTGGGAGACACACATTGACTTCCCGAAGGAGCCTGGCTCACTCCTCTGAGTTTCTGTGGGAAATCAGGAGAGGAGAATGTGACCTGGAGCCACGGGATTGGCCAGCACTCTTCTCAGAGACAGTGGCACACATATGGGCCTCAGAGTCTTACATTTTGGGAATGTATTTCTTATCTCTCCCGGAAATGGCTTTTTCTGAATGCAGTGTTCTCTGAAGCCTGTTTCCATTCGACTTCTCTCCCTAAAGGCTCCTCCCTTCCTTCTGAACATTGATCTTTTATTCCTGTCAGGTGCCGTCCAATAATCCTTCATGACAAACACAGACAACCTTGTGATTGTGACTGCTTTGAAAAGTGCTCCGAGTTGCAGAGGGACATTTATAGTCTCAGTGTTTTTGTTTTTGTACATAACAATTTATAACATTCTGTCCTCTCAGACCCAAGAGAGATGCTCAGGGCTGGCAGTGTTGAAGGAGTTGAATTTATTTTTCTGAGGCATTCATGCTTCTAACACATCTATATTAATTTATCTCGAGTTTTGTGATTATTAGTTCATAGACATTATTTATAGAGGTCTTGAGTAGAACAGACAAACTTGACTAGTCACAGAACATGTGATGGGTGGAACCAACTATATTTCCACTTTGTCAGAATGGCTTTACAATCTCCTTGAAGGGCTTAGGAACTATCTTACTGTGTAAACGCTCATGAAAGATGTAAAGATAGGGGTTATTTTCTGTTGCCTGGAGACTAGAGAACGATTCTTTTCCATTGTTTTTAAAAAATGTTCTGAAGTCTTTTGACCATTTCTTTAGGAAAGATTACATACAAATCAAACATACCAGGGTGGAATTCAATGAAGTGGGCCATAGGGGTCCTGTGTGGCTTGAAGAAATTTGAAGGGAAAACATGTAATGATAACAACTTTTTAAAGCACATTGACAATAGTGGCAGTGTAAAACAATGCCATTTAGAGACCATTTATAGTACACTGTATCCTTCACCTCTCCCCTATTCTCTTTGTTATATAGATGGTGAAGCCAAGACCTTCAAATGGAAAAAGGGGAGCAGTACAGAGTGCTGGAAACCGTAGATTGTAAGACAGACAGGATTTGAAATTCTGGCTCTGACATCCATGAGCTTTGGTATCTTGGGCATATCAGGAGAACTTGTTTCTATGTGCCATATATCTGTGAAGTGGATCAAATCATCATAACTACCTGATGATACATTTAATACTGGGACTAGTGACTTGGGAGAGAAAATATAGGCAGGGTTATCATCTAGGTCCTTGTCCGAAGCAGCTACCCAGTGTGGCTAGCTGTTGCTGTTGTCATCATTGGGTTCTGTTGTTGGTTCTTGTTAGGCAGAATGGAATCTTCCATTAAGTTTGGGGGTCACACCTGACAATGCCGGGGTGTTTCTAGCATGGATTCTTTTCCTAAAATCCTGTGGATTCTTTCTAACCACAGCATTCACAGTTGAAAGTGATGTTTCTCTTGTGTTCTTTGTTTCAGTGAAACCCATGTAGAAGATGAGGAGGGGCTCTATGACTGTGTATACGGGGAAGATGAAGGCGGGGAAGTGTACGAGGACTTGATGAAAGCTGAGGAAACGCATCAACCTGTAAGGCTTCATCAGCTTTCTGTTCAAGTTGCTCTGAGTCTTTTACGAGGAAACTGATTCCTTGAATGGATAATTTGCAATGATTTTTATAATTTCTTCTGGAACCGTTTTTGTTTTTGAACCGCTTTTGAAAGCTGTATGACAGTATAACAATATAATAATCTAATAACAGTATATTAACTTGGTATTGCATTTGGAGATCTATAAGGACTACATTTGATAATTGAAAACTACTGTAGGGAACTGGTTTAAAATAACAGAGAGGAGCTTGATCTTTAAGCCTGTGTTTTCCCGTGAACGCGTATCCTGCTTGTTTCTGTTTCTTTGCTTGTCCTTTTTCACTCTGGAGAAATCTGTGTTCACTCTCAGGTACTTCTCCCTTTCTTTTCCCTCACATCTTTCTAAATAAGTTTCAATAAAAAACTTTCTTGCATCAAAAAAAAACAAAATAGCTTGGAGGGGGGAGTGGAGAGATATTACAGAGGTAAGGTGGGGCTGGACAGATGGAACGATAGGTTTGTTGTTTGCCTTGCATGCAGCCGACCTGGGTTCAATCCCTGGCATCCTGTATGGTCCAGGAGCAAGTCCTGAGCACAGCCAGGAGTAATTCTTGAGTGCAGAGCCAGGATCAAGCCCTGGGCATTGTCAGGTGTGACCCCCAAACTTAAAAAACAAACCTCCAAAAATACAGTGGTAAGGTACTTGTTTTGCATGCACCTGACCATTGGGTTTGATCCCCAGCATCCCATATGATCCCCTGAGCACCTCCAGGAGTGATTCCTGAGTGCAGATCCAGGAATTACCCCTGAGCATTTCTGGGTATGACCACGAAACTAAAAATATCACCATCATCATCATCATCATCATCATCATCATCATCATCATCATCATCCATCATCATCATCATCATCTAAAAAAACACAGGGAAACGTGTTTATTTCTTTATTATTTTTATTTTTTTGTCTTCCAAATGGTCCTCAGAATCCCAGAAATATTATCAGCAGTTGTTGGTTAAGAAGTCCGGAGGGTTCAGTGGTGAGGTTTTATGACATAGTGCTTGGGGCCACCTGGGTTACCCAGAATACTTGGGGCACTAGGCAGTGCAGGATCAAACTTGGGTTCCTGTGTGTACAAGGCATGTACCCTTGAATCTTAAATTCTCTCCCTGGCCCCTTGTCCCTGCATTTTACTGATAAGAAAATGAAGTCTGAAGTCTGAGATAAATGAGATATCACCCCAAAATGTAACGTAATTCCACAGAGTCATTCAATGGTTTATAGAGGGAAATATCATCAAAAGCAACCTGAGTTAAAGATTTATATATAAACATATTCTTTATACATGATGTATGGAAAATACACTAAGGAATATTTCTTCAGGCACTGAAGAGAAGTACAGTGGGTAGGGTACTTGCCCTGCATGGGGCCAACACAAGTTCAATCCCCAGCACTCTGTTTAGTTCCCTGACTCCCACCAGAAATGGTCCCTGCACTCAAAGTCAAGAATAAGCCCTGAGCACTTCTGGGTATCTCACTGTCACTGCCACTGTCCTGTTGTTCATCGATTTGCTGGAGCCGGCCCAGCAACATCTCCATTGTGACACTTGTTACTGTGTTTGGCATATCAAATACTTCACGGGTAGCTCGCCAGGCTTTGCCCTGCGGGTGAGATAATCTCGGTAGCTTGCTGGGCTCTCTGAGAGGGGCGGAGGAATCAAACCTGGGTCAGCCAGCAAGGCAAATGCCCTACCCACCATGCTATTGCTCCAGCCCTCTGAGTATCTCAAAAAACAAAAATAAAATTTTAAGTAAGAGAATATTTCTTCATATTGGGGTATTGGTAGCAGTCTTTTATTGTTTAACTGTTATGAGTATTTTTACTTACGATTTCATAAACTAATCAGATATTGTATTCAGTATGAACTCATTAAGTTATATCTCCCATTCAAATATTTGGATCACTCAGAAAGGTTTACTTGAATTATTTTTTCAGTTATACCTTGAAATCAAAGTAAAACCAGATGTTTAGCATTTTTTTAGTGTGGTCTTATACTAAATAATTCTCTTTTTTTAGCTGGCTTTGGTTTAGGTGTGTCTGGTCCTTTGGAGAATTCACACAGCTCTCTGGGTGCTATTCTCACATAGAAGATGGGTGGCTAGTTCAGTTTCTCAAATAGAAACAAGAGACTGGGTATGTTTGGAGGATGTAATGACTGTGTCCTTTGCTCACTGCATGAGTTGACAGGTCGCCTTCCGAGAGTGTTTTTAGGTGACAGAATCTCATCAGCAGCTCCTATAATTATCAACAGCTTAGGGTGCCAGCAAGTTTTCCAGTAACTCTCCCAACGGGCAGTCTTCACTCAGCTGACAGCTCTGGGTGGCTTCCATGGGACAGAATAATTTTAATGAGAATTTAAATGTATGGGGCTCTTCTTGTCTACCCTGCTTGGTGCTAAGTGTTTTGGCTTATCTCATGTCAAGCTCCTTGGAGATGGTCCTGTAATTCTCTTTATTTTGCATATAAGAAAACTGAGCCACAGAGAACTTTGGTAATTTGTCCATACTAGCAAGCTAAAAACAGCAAAACTGATACTTGAATTTAGTTCTATCTGGTGCCAAAACCTTTGTTGTCATTTTGAACGTGTTTTCTCACTCTGCAATATAATGCAGTCTCTTCAGTTTATTCTCTGATACTAACAATCTTGCAACATACAGTAAAAAAAAAGTAAAATACCAAGATGCTAGTACTTAAAAAAATTGAAAATTTAAGCTTAGCAAATACCCTTTTGTTATTGTTATAGTTCTTTTGATAGCACTTGTAAAGTATACTATATTTTAAAGAAGCTATAGTATACCATTTGTGGCATTTTCAGAATCAATAACGTTTATGATAAAAAGGTCTTTTAAAAAGTGATCAATACTCAGAAGCTTGATTTTAGTCATCTAATTATTTACTTCATTCAATGCTCTCAAACTGCTTTATGTATGTAGTTATATATGTAATTTATCTTTTAGTTTTAATGAAATGAAAAGCTTAAGAAAATTAGCAATATTTTTTTATCTTTGATAAAATAATTTAAGTTTGGTAACTCTAATTGCAGAAATGTCCAGAAAATGATATACGAAGTTGCTGCTTAGCTGAAATTAAGCAGACAGAAGAAAAATACACAGAAACTTTGGAGTCAATAGAAAAAGTAAGTTATTCATTTTCTTGATAACCAGATACTGCCTTAGATAGTTAATATAATTACACTCTATATTTTTTCTTGGTGAGTGTGTGTTATAATCTTTATTAGAGCTTTCAGTTTAAGGATATCAGAACATATCAAAATAGTTCATTCTAAAACTAGTTGAAAAATACGAATACAGGAAAAGAGGTGGGAAATATAGTACAGGGTAAGGCACTTGCCTAGTATGCAGCTGAACTTAGTTCCATCCCAGTCACTGAATATGGTCCCCAGAAAACTGCTAGAAATGATTCCTAAGCATAGAGCCAGGAGTGAGCCCTGTTAAGGAGTAACCAACCACTAGGTGTGGTTACTCCTCTACTCCCCCAAACAGACAAACAAAACCCCTATTTATTTCTTAGTATTCGAATTGTTCTAACCCAAAGGCTTGAGAAAGTAGCCATAAGTAGAGCAGAGCTCTAGTTTTCATCACCTTTCTCCATCATGAGAGAGATCTTACTGTAGGTAAATGCATATGCCAAGTGGTAATGCATTCTCTGGAGAAAAACAAGATAAATGGTAGAGAATGATGGAGGAAAGAGGTTTTAATTTATGTGGAGTGATATTGGAAGGCCTGTGTGAGAAGATTCGACTTAAGAAAGAGTGAATTGGAGGAGCAGTCCATGCAGGTATCCCAGAGCTGAAAGGGCCTGAGAGGGTTCAGCATGTCACAAGAACAGCAGTCATCCAGGGACTGAAGCAGAATGACAAAAGGACAGCAGTGGAATCAGCTTGTAAGCTACCAGGCCATGTAGGCATAAAGAAGTAGCTCAAAGATGAAGCATTTTGAATAGAAGAAGTGACACAATCCACTTTCAAACTCATTCTCTTATCTAGCAAAGGGGATAAAAGTTAGAAGGATATTGCTCTAATCAAATTGGTTGAGAATGGTGATATTGGTAGAAGTGGTCAGGAGTAGGTAGATGCGATTTGATGATGGATTCAATAAAGGGTATGTGGGAAAGACCTATCAAAAATGCTAGGTTTTTAGCATAAGTGTGAATAATAAGGAAGGCTAGTGAGACAGGACTGGAAAAACATTTGGGGAGAAGGAGTCCAATGTGGTATTATTAAAAATTTTTAACATGTGTTGGGGAAAGTGCTATTTGAGTCTGATGTTAAGGGGAAGTTTGAGTTCTCATACAGATGAGGCCATTATCATTACATGATAGTGTTTTGACTGTAGGAATAAATGAGATCGACCTAGGGAATGAATGTTGATAGAAGAGATATGATACCACTTTCGGTGATTTTCATACCTAGCAGTTAGGAAAATGAGAACATTCTTGAAACTTATAGAAAAGGATGAGTTGTTTAAGGAGAGTTGATGTATGACATTCATAAGGTCAAGGACATAGAATTATTAATCTTATTGAATTTTGTGATTGTGAAATTAGGCTATGACTATAGTTTCTAACTAATTTTCTAGGTATATTCACAAAATATGTGGGAAGATAGATCTAAGCAGAAATTTTATTTTTATTTCTCAAGGAATGAAGAAGAAAGATCTGTAAATTATATAAACCAGTTACTGATCTCAGATCTAGAATCTCCACAAAACATTAATGGAATATTTTTGGTCAGTCTTCAAACATATCTCCAAAATTTGCCATTTTTTGCCAATCATATTCTCTTTCTTATATTTCAGTGCATTTATTTTTAAATCTTTTATACTTTGAATGAACTAGTATCTTTAACTCTGTTCAAGTATGCATTTTTTAAGAGAGAGATAAATTGTTTCTACATTTTTGGTATTCATGATGCTGGCAAACAACTGACTTTCAATAATTTATTTTTTGCTTATTTATGAAAAAATTGTATATAGATTAGACTATGAGATAGCATAGTCTAGCTTAACAACTATTCCTTCCTTCTCTCTTACTAGTATTTCATGGCTCCACTAAAAAGATTTCTGACGGCAAAAGAATTTGATTCAGTATTCATCAACATTCCTGTAAGTAAAAATACATTAACTAAATTGTGGTGTGTTGAAACTAAATTCTTGGTTTCTTATTGGGTTCAGTATCCTTCACTTAACATTCTCCTGTATTCTTCAAGAATTTTGATCCTATTTTTGCCCGTTGTGTTCCTATAATCTTATTTTCTAGACATAACGGGTAAGTTGTATCTTAAATCAGAAATCAGTTAATATGTGTGCAGAATACAAATGGATAACTCAGATTCTTGCACTATTTTAGTTACATTTTAGTTGGTATTTGAGTCCCACCCTAGAGTTTTTCAGGCTGACTTCTGGTTCTGTGCTCAGGCGTCACTCCTTGGCAGTGCTGGGGATTAAACCAGTGTCGACCACGTACAAGGCAGGCACCTAAACCCTGTACTATCTCTCTGATACCGCCTGCATTGTTTGTACTTCCTGTCATGAGGTAGTAGTTTCAGTTAAATTTCATGGCTGATGCCTCTTTGTAATATGGGAGTTGTCTTCTTGTGTCCATCTTCCATTTCTTGCCCTGTGCCTCTTCCTCCTCCTCAGTTCCAGTTGCAGACACTGTCCTGATGACTTCTTTCTCTTCCATTGCCTCTGTTTCTGCTCCTTACTACTTTATTTTGGGGGTCTTTGGAGTTTTGGAGCACACTCAGCAGTACTCCTGGCTCTGCGCTCAGGGATCATTTCTGGTGGGCTTGGTGGACCATATGGGGCGCCAGGGATCGAACCTGGGTCAGCTGTGTGTTAGGCAAATATCCTATCTTTATTATTATTATGATAATGATGATGTGTATTATTGCTCCAACCCCTCCTTACTACTTTCTGATCCCAGTTATATCCATTTTAACTCCCATTTCTGAAACAAATGATGTCTCTGCATTTTAGTCACACAGTTTTAATAGTAATATGTGAGAAGCTTTTCTTCACATTCATGTAGACCTTTTGAATTTCAGATCTCTCACAGTTATTTTATAACCCTAAAAGAAAATTGACCAAGAAACATAGAAGCAAGTAGAATACTGTTCTTGAGTCAAGTTCTGGTTTGGGGGGGGGGGGGGCGGTTAGATTCAGAAATCTCAAATTGATACAACTTTATTCTGGTAGGCAGAGTCCTTCCTTAATTTCAACTCATTTAAAATGCTTCCTTATGTAGGGCAGTGGAAAGAAGGCTGGCATCAAAATATTTTGATTATAAAAGATTATAAAAGTGTAAAGGCCCTTTGTGGCAGACACATTGTATGAAAGTAACTCATAAAAAGCCTTTAAAATATTTTACATTTGTACTCTTTGGAGGCTTATGCACATATATTCTGCTTTCATAATTTTTTGCAAAGCATACACAAACACAGAGTGGAAACTTCTTAATAAAATGCATTTATAAATTCTCTGTATTAGAATATAAGAAATATCCTATAGAAATTAACTATAACTATATAGGGAGATTTCTTATATAAGATATAAGATTTTAAAGAGATTTCTTAAATATAGATATAAGAAATCTCCTTAAATAGTTATAGTTAATTTCTACCCATGTTGTACAGTAGATACCTTCTATTTCAGTTGCTAATAAAAAGCTACACCATTTAAAAAAAGAAAAAAAATGCCATGAGTCAAGTTCTTTCATCTCTGGAGAAAGCTCTGGCTCTGACTTAGATGCACACCATATATATACAATATATATGCTCACATACAGGCTTGCCTTGTGTCATCCCTTTTATTTTGATTCTGGTATAGTCATTGGGTGATACAGTTTGCTGTAGCATGTATACTGGATTTGGGTCACATGGAGACCTGGTCATTGACTTGTGACTTAGCAGGAAGGAAAAGAAAAAGTCCGCATCACTAGAACTTTCAGAATAACACAAACTGCATGTGGCAGGAAGGTGAGGATATTCAACCACCGAGATACGGTCACCATGACTGATAATAATTCTTATTCTTGTGGCTTTTCCATACTGCTCAAAAGAATGACAGGGAAAACAGGGTCATGTTTTGTATCTGCCCTACTAAGAAAAGGATATTTTGTGAAGTTAACGTGTGCCCCATGGTACACAGGAATAGATAATGGCAGCATTGGCACTTAGATTCAAATTCCCTCATTTCCTGGCTGTGACACGTATTTATTGCCTGACTGAATGAAAATTACTTGCTTCTCAGGAAAAATGTAAAATTCTGACTTTTGAGTTCTCAAGAACTGCCTGGTACAATTTATTTTCTCCTTATTTATGCCATTAACTGTCTGATTTCAAGTAATTTAGTTTGATTATTGTTGGTTTAGCACCAAGGCGCCATTAATTGTCCAAAGCACAAGTCTACATTTTTATGTCCCTAGGACATGAGTCATTACTGTCAATAAAACATTAACCACTTGGATAGTTTTGTTTAAAAATTTTAAGTGATTATAAAATGAAATGAGCTAGACGTATTTTTCTCCAAGGAATTAATTACCCTTTAATAACTATTGCGATGCTGGCTGTTCTCACAGGACACTGACATTTTCAGTCAGATCTGAAATTACAATTTCTCATGTACAATGACACCCCCCACCCCACTTTCCCATTCTCTGTCCTCTCTCCACCGTTCCCTTCCTTTTCCCCTTCTCTCCTTTCTTCCTCTCACTTCTTGCCCTGTCCTCACCCATCTCAGTATTGTAGTGGAGGATTCATATATTGAGAAGGTTCAGCACAGCTTTGAGGAAGACTCTAACAACAGTAGTTCTGAGTTGGAAGTGATTCAATTGTTCTGATTCATGAATTCCTTTGACACTGTTCTCTTTCAAGGAACTTGTCAAAGTTCATCGGAGCCTTATGCAGGAGATCCATGATTCCATTACAAATAAAAATGATCAGAACTTGTATCAAGTTTTCATTAACTACAAGGAAAGGTAAGTAATTTAAAACTTTATGGCTGTTAGTTTTAAAAATTGTATCAGAAGGTCAAAATTACAATTAATGTTACAGTTCAAATTATATTATTAGCTTGCTTATGTATAGCAGTTTCTACTGTTCATTTATATCCCATGATAACAGTAATTAGAATGTGGGTATAATTAATCACAGAGTGGTAGTTTGATCTCTGTGTGTATGTTTATACCAAAAAAAACACCCCAAATCCTGTCTTTCACTGTAGTGATTAGACTTGTGTGTAAATCAGAAAGCACAAATTGTTTTTTTTTTAATTTTTGTTTGTGAAACATCATGAGGTACAGTTGTAGACTTACAAGTTTTTGTGCTTGGGCTTCAGTTATACAATGATCAAGTACCCATCCCTCCACCAGTGCCCATTCTCCACCACCAATGATCCCAGTAACCCTCCCACCCCCCACCCCCGATCCCACCCCGCCTCTGTGACAGGGCATTCCTTTTGTTCTCTCTCTCCTTTTGGATGTTGTGGTTTGCAAAAGAGGCATTGAGTGGCAATCATGTTCGGTCTATAGTCTACTTTCAGCGTGCATCTCCCATCCTGGGAGGATCCTCCCAATACCCTTTACAGATTGTTTTAAGAATTTGTCTCTACTGAACTCTGTAATCTTCTGATCTTCAGGAAGATTCTTTGAGTTTTCTCTTCATCTCTGTATGTTGGAAATCATTTTGTACCTGGTAATTTTTCCAACTCTTAATATGTTCTTATTGTCACTTTTGAAGTATTCAAAAAAGCATTTGTAGCTAAAATAGGTTTCCTTTATAAGTTTGAAAAAATTATCTGAGATGCTGACATGGTTTAAATGACATGGAAATTTGCTTAAAATATAATTCTCTAAAATTGAGTGTTCTGGTTTCCAGTGCTAAGAATTGACTAGAAATCTTGGTTTTGCATTAATAATGGTAAGTTAAGCATTATCATCTTATTGGGAATATTTTTTCCCAGTGGGGTATTAAAAGAAATAATAAATTAACCAACTTCATTGCAAAATATTTATATGACTAGTAGAAATACTCTTCCTAAAGTAGGTTAGACCCCATGCAATATGAGCTGTCTTTTAGCCAAGATAGTGTCTTTTATCTTCACTCTAAGATAATATATTTTACCTAATTAAAAAGTAGAAAGTACATATATGGTGACTGCTATCATAATATATGAAAATATTGAATATTGTGTTGCACACATGTGATACATCTGTTTTGCCCTAATTTTTAAAAGTGAAGAAGAGAAGGAAGTTTACTAATAAGTGAAGAAATAAATAGCAAATGTAGCGTAATTGTCATAGAAAGTTAGACTCTGAATATGAGCAAACAGTAAAAAGTTAATCTCTTAGCAGGAATATGTTTTTTAATTTTTTAAATTTATTTAATTTTGGGCCATACCTGTTGATGCTCAGGGATCACTCCCGGTGAGCTCAAGGAACTATATGTGGTATCAGAGGGGTCCAACTTGGATCAGCCATATGGAATACAAGCACCATTGCCCACTGTACTTTCACTCCAGATCCCTTGTAGGAATATAAACAAATTTTTAAGGTTTTTTTTCTGTGATATACTCACATATGTATTCATGTACTCAAACGCCCCAAACCACTGTGAAGTCAGTCTGAAAATATTTACCTGTTATAAGACTGAATTAGGGCTCAAATTTAGAAACTCAAGTTTTGTTTAAAACAAAAAACATTCAACTTCATAAATGAGTTAGAGTTAGACTCTGTCTGTGATGTGTGTGGGTTGAAAAAAGGGAGAAAGCTGAGGCACAGAGAGACTGCGAGGAATCTGTATGGGGCACGCAGGCGAGAAGTGCAGAATATGGAAGATTTTTTTTTTCTGATGATTCCTAGTTGTAGTTTTAAATAGATGAAAATTCTTCCTACTTTCCCTACCATGTCACTCTTGCTTTTTGACCAACATGTTAATTATTTTATTGAATTTTTTTCAGGTTGGTTATTTATGGACAGTACTGCAGTGGAGTGGAATTAGCCATCTCTAGTTTAGACTACATTTCTAAGACGAAAGAAGATGTCAAACTGAAATTAGAGGTGCCTCTTTATTTTTCCTGTTTTATTTTTCACATGAAGTAAAGTTCATGTAAAAGCAAATCTACTACTTTTTTCTGATTTTTGCAAGAGTAAATTTATGCATGTGTTCTGTATATGATTATTTGTCAGTTTTGTAAAATATTTGAACATATAGATGTATAAGGATTCGGTGGTGGTGTGGTATGGAATGTGATATGCCTGCCCTTCAATTTCTTATTTTTTTGTGATTTTCTTTGGGGTGGGATGAGGGATGGGGTGGAAACCTAACAGCTTAGGTCTTACTTCTGGCTTTGTGCTCAGGGATCTTTCCTGGGGACTCAGGGGACCATATTTGGTGCTGGGGATCAAGCGCACATCAGCCACATGCAGAGCAAGTGCCTTAACCACTGTGCTCTCTCTCTGGCCCTCTGAAACTTTTCTCTTAGTGGTGTTGTTGATCCTGGTGCCTAAATATAATTTTTTTAAAAGTTAAATATTTAGTATATTAATTTAGGGCCTTTGGTTTTCACGCATTGTTTCAGGTTCTCATGAATTTGATCTATCTCTCTATATCTGTGTCTATACACATATATACACACAAACACATAGCTTTCCTTTTTCTCTCTCTCCTCTTTCTCCCTCTATCTTCCTCTCCCTTTCCAACTTCCTCTCCTTCTCCCTCTCTTTCTTCTATCTTCCATCAACACCTGGCAGGGAGGCAGGGGTCAGGGCTCACTCCTAGCTCTACACTCACTCCTAGCTCTAACTCCTTGTGGGCTCAGGGGATCATATAGAGTACTGGGAAATGAATGGTCAGCTGCATGCAAGGTGAATGCCTTACCTGTTGTACTATCTCTCTGGCCCACATATTTTTTTTATGGATGAGAAAAGATGACGTTCAGAGAGGTCATGAATAATTTCCCCAAGTTGCAGCAGGTACAAGACGACTTAGTTATATGAGATAATGCGTATGTAGGTTTAAGATATTTATTAAAATATAATACACTAAAGGCAGACGTAACAGTGGCATGGGTATGAACTGTAAGAAGGAAGACAGACATAAATATGGTAAGATTAAGTGGTATGTGACAAGCACTAAATAATAGTGTTCCATGCGTGAGATGTAGCAGTCACTTAAATATAGGTAGAACGCAGAAGATTTATATGGAGAGGTAGCCTTTGAATCAGATTCCCAGAATTTGACAGATGAGATTCCTGGGAGAGAATTCTGAAAGAATTGGCAAGCCTTCACTTGAGAATTAGGAACTTGAGAAATATGGTATTTCTCAGTATAAACAGTATAAACAGCACGTGGTCACTATGGCAACCAAGTCTGGAAATTATTCTTCATCTTTGCTTTGCCCACCATTTCTTTCCTAGGTATCTTTACACTTTTAAAGATCTTTTGAAAAGTGGTTGTGATACGAATTATCTCAAATCCATTATACGCTTTTCTACCTGCTTAAATTTTAGGTCAAGCTATATTGTTGACCCATACATGACTGTAACTCGGATGTCTCACTAATACCCTTTTAGCTGCTCTTCGCTTTTAGCAGTGAGATTAGGTGATGAATGGGGGATGGGTGGAGAGGCAGATTTCTAAGTTTTGTTTGAGGGCCACACCCAGTGGTATTGAGGGCTTATTCCTGGCTCTTTGCTCAGGGAGCACTCCTGGCGAGCTTGGGAGACCATATGGGATGCTGGGGATCAGACCCAGGTTGACCCGATGCAAAGCAAGTGCCCTCCCTATTGTACTATCACTCTGGTCCTGAAGCAGATTTTTAAACATCAGAATCTTGTCACATTTTACTGCCTCTGATATTATTTCGTAACGCGTAATTCTCTCCTAGGGTTGTCATTTATTAGACAGATTGAACATCAGCAGGTTTCCAAATCATTAATGATTTCTGGTGCTTGGGGCACATCCGGCTGTGCTCCAGGCTTACTCTTGGCTCTGTGATCAGTGGCAGGACTCAGTGGACCATATCGGGTGCCAGGTGTGCTGTGTGCAAGACAAATGCTATATCCACTGTACTATCCCTCTGGTCCCATCCCTTACCTTTAAAAAAAATTTTTTTTTATTGAATCACAGTGAGGCACACAGTTACAAAGTTAATGATTGTGTTTCAGTCATATAATGTTCCAACACTCTTCCCTTTACCAGTGTGCATTTCCCACCACCAGTGGAAAATGGTCTCAGTTTCCCTCCTCTCCTCCCACCTGCCTTTATGGCAGGCTCTTTCTCTCTCTCTTTCTCTCTCTTGCTCTCTCCTCTCCTCTCTCCTCTCTCTCTTGTTCTCTTCTCTCTCACACTCTCTCTCTCTCTCTCTCTCTCTCTCTCTCTCTCTCTCTCTCTCTCTCTCTCCCACCCCCTATTGGGCATTATGGTTTACAATACAGATACTGAAAGGTTATGCATGTCCCTTTACCTACTTTTAACACTCAGTTCTGTCCAGAGTGATCATTTCTAACTATTATTGTCATACAAATCCCTTCTCTAACCTAACTGCTCTTTCTCCCCACACACTTGTTACGAGCTTCCAACAATTGACCAGTCTTTCTGTCCCCTGTTTTTCCTTGGATATTAGTCTCATACTAATTTTTTATATTCCACAAATGAATGCAGTCATTTTATATCTGTCCTTCTCCTTCTGACTCATTTCACTCAACATGATACTCTCCACGTCCATCAATTAATAGGCAAATTTCATGACTTCAGTTTTCCTAACAGCTGCATAGTATTCCATTGTAGATGTAACATAGTTTCTTTATCCAGCCATCTGTTCTTGGGCATTTGGGCTGTTTCCAAATTCTTTTTTTAAAAACAATTAGTAAAACACCATGTGGTACAGCTGTAGACTTACAAATTTTTGTGCTTGGGTTTCAGTTATACAATGATCGAGTACCCGTCCCTCCACCAGTGCCCATTCTCCACCACCACTAATCCCAGTATCCCTCCCACCTCCATCCCCCCCATCCCACCCTGCCTCTGTGGCAGGGCATTCCCTTCCACATTCTGGCCATTATGAATAGTGCTGCAAGGAACACAGAGAGTCCTGTTGACAGTCCCTTGTTGTTGTGGACCTTATGTCTGGAGATAGTGTAATATCTGGAGATAGTGTAGTCATCACCACTAAATAACATCTGACCTTGTTTAGTATAAAGGGTTCCTGCTCCTCTTTAAAGAACAATCTAGAAATAAACATAATCCACACTGCCTAAAATGCAGTGGAGAGATAAAAGTTGGCAATTTATTCAAGTAGTTTCTAATGGAACGCTCATCAAGCCAATTTAAAAAATAAGCATATAAAATTTCAGTTCAATAAAGCCATTAGGAAATTGTCAATCAAACTCTCAGCTTTGTTTGAATGTTGCTCTTTCTTCTTTCAGATTTGCTGCTGAAATCCTGCTCAGGGGGCATTCTCTGGGATTCTAGATAAGAGTTTCTGAAGCCACTGTCCTCTTGGGAAAGAGGAGGGGGTTCTTGGGCTGAGTTTGAAAGACTTGGCCTCATGCTGCTGCCTGCTTATTCTCAACTGAAAATCCCTTATTTCTCTGTAAATTAATTTATCAAATCACCCTACATTGCAAAGTTACGAAGTTATTTGTGATTGAGCTTCAGGGGTTCAGTATTCCAACACCAGTGTCCACTTCCTTCTGCCAGTGTCCCCAGTTTCCCCTCTGTCTCCCAGCCTGCCTCTCTGTCGGGCACTTTTTTTTAAACCTCACTTTTTCCCCTTTAGGCACTGTGGCTTACAGTTCTGTTATGGATAGCTTATGCTCATCACTCTACTTCCTTTCAGAACCTCTGTCCACATCCAGAGTGACTGTTTCCTTTCATCATGGCTGTAGTGGTCCCTTCCTTGACCTTTCCCCCATCCTTCCACAGTGTCAAGCTTCCTACTAAAGACCAATTCTGCCTTTTGTTTCCATTGTCTCTGGGTGTTAGTTATTCCCCTACTGTTATCTCTCTCTATCTCTGTAGATGAGGAAGATCATTCTGGGCCTGTCCCTCTCCCTTTGATCCACTTCAGTATGTTACTCTCCGGGTTCAACCATGGTAGCAGCAAATTTCCTGACTTTGTCTTGTCTAAGAAGGTAGCACTCCATTGTGTATGTGTACTGTGGCATCTTTATCAGGTCAACTGCTCTTTAGAAGTTCCAATTTCTGAATCAGTGCCAAATAAAAAATACTCACTCAGATACTTGCTTCAGCAGCTCCACAATTATTCTTTCCTCGTATCATCTTATGCAAGTCCCTGCTTGGTGGATGGGAAGCTGATTTATTTTTGGTGTCTTCTTTTGGTACTTTCTTCATATATTCTTCATATCTTTGTGTTTATTTTTGCTTTTGTTGACTTTTTTTCCTCCCTCAACCCACCCCATATGTTATAACCAACGTAACATCAGATGAAGGGTGAGAGAAGCATTTTATCTTGTTCTGTAAGAAATTCCATTTTATTTTCTTCTCAGTTAGAATTGGGCTTAGGCCAAGCAAGGGACTATATGTTTTGAAGAATATCTTGTACTCTTTATTTCTTTCAGTACTCATAAGCTTCAGCAGTGTCAGGCTCTCCCTTGTAACTGATGCATGTGGGATTAAGTTTTTTACCTCCTGAGCCTCTAACTTAGGGTTTGAAGGAGCGAATTTCTTATTCCAACCATTTTAAATTAACTTTTGTAACATAGAAATGTGAATTTTTAAATGTATAGTTTTTGTTCTTAACACTGTGTTAAGATGTCATAACATAAAAAGTCTAAAGTACAAGCTAATTCCAGGAAGCTTAAAATGCAGCTGGGATGATAAAACTCATTCATTACAATGATATTAGCAGTTTAACCTCCTATTTGAGACCCATGATCCAGAACTCTCAACAATCTGTAGAGGCAAGAAATCAGTTGAAATAGTTATCTTTCCAATGAACCGAAGAAATTGACAAGACATGAGCTAACATGTGAGGATATGCCCCCAGTTCTTCTTTCCTAATATCTGTAGTCAAGTGCTCATTAAACCACTCTGGTCATTAGAGCTAATGGTGTTTGCTTTATAGCTGTGGATAATATATCTTTCAGCATTTCAGAAAAGCTAACTGTGTGAGCACAATTGGACTTAGGTTACATGACGATGTTTTATGGAAATGTATTCTTTCTTTGAACTACACCCCAGGTATGTGAGAAATATGAAAATCAGAATAGTGACGTGTCACATGGATTTGCTTAAACTCATTTAAACTTAACTTTTGAGGTTTTAAAAAATTAAAATACTTCACCATGTCCCAGTTAATGTCAAGAGTTAACATTACTATTTTTAAACAATGCTGTTTTGTTTTGCTTTGAGGCCACACCCAGTTTGTGTAGGTGCTATTCCTGGCTCTGTGCTGGGGGCTAGGGTGTTGCCTGGTGGTGCTTGGAACTCAGGGCTGGATACATGTAAGGCAAGTGAGTTCATCTCTTTACTATCACTCCAGCCCTTACTTACTTATTTTTTGGTAGGGAAGCCATAGCTGTTGTTACTCAGCGCTTACTCCCGACTCTGTGCTCAGGCATCATTCCTGTCAGGCTCAGGAGACCATCTGGTATGCTGCAGATCGAACTCTGGTCAGTGGCATATAAAACAAGTGCCCTGTCCATTGTGCTATTTCTCCGGCACCCAGCCCTTTAATTTTTAAGAAAGGAGTGGGGGATTTGAAAAATAAAAATCTGAGGCCAGAGAGATGGTACAGCAAGGAAGGCACTTGCTTTGTGTGCAGCTAAACTCTTGTCAATTGTTGGCACCACATATGGTTCCCTGAGCATCATCAGTAGTGATCCCTGAGCACCAAGCCAGGAGTAAGCCCTGAGCACAGCTGGCAGTGGCCCCAAACAAACACGAAACATGTCTGAGACACTTTTTTAAACTTTGAATTGAGTAGTAGTTTTGTACTTTAGCACACTTACGGAGTTAATCATTCTATTTTGTTCAGTCTAATAAATAAGCATTAAGCATATGATACTAGGTTCTTAGTAGTATAAAGTCATGATATATTAGAAAAAAGATATGTAGAACAGCTATTAGAAGACCCACAAGGCACAGAGATCTTAGTTTTGGTTGGGATTACAGTTTTTAAAGAGGATTTGAATTTTTGCTGGAAACTGAACAAAGCACAGGATTGATGGAGAGAATGAAATGAAGTAAGGTATGATGGGGGGAAGGTCCATGGCAGGCCTGATGAACAGGGACTTGTTCTTGATGCCGATGGTCCATCTGAGCAAAAGAAGTTAAGTGGGGGAAGACCCTGGAGGTCCACTGAAAAAAATTTTCTGGGCCAGTGTGATAGTATAGTGGGTTCGATCGCCGGCACCCCATATTGTCCCTTTATAATCCTACAGGAGTGGTTCTTAAGTGCAGGAGCAAGAGTGAGCAGTGCTAGGTATGGCCCCCAAATCACAACTTTCATGCATAAAATAGTTCTGTTCACTGATTAATATTTTAAAGGAGGATTTATTAGAGAATAAAATACTGCATCATCAGTTTTGCTTATGGGTTTGAAACTTTTCAATATTTGTTTTATGATTCCCATCAAACTAAAAGTTTCTAAAAATATTTCATTAGGAATGTTCCAAAAGAGCAAATAATGGGAAGTTTACTCTTCGAGACTTGCTTGTGGTTCCAATGCAGCGTGTGTTAAAGTATCACCTTCTCCTCCAGGTATGTAATGCAAAACTGCATAGCTGGCTTATGTATCCTTTTAGTTGATTTATTTATTCAAAAGATAAAAGTGAAGTGTCAACTATTCTCCATATACTCCATATTTTAGGCCCTGTTCCCATAAAGTTTTCTGTGACAGCTATGTGGAGTATAACAGAACAGCTGGAAGTCTTTTCTTCTTTTAGAAGATATCCTGTATCTTTCACAAGGTCACATTTTGTGTCCTTTAAAAAGAACTGATTACCCCAAGAGTAAGAAATAAGGAAAAATAAAAATGTCCCTTTTGTCACATTTTGCATATTTAGCACTAATCATTTGTTAGAATATTAATGGTGCTATATATCTGAATTTTGACAGGTTAATTGTATTAGAACTTTTGTCTTATAACCGTAAACTAAAGAGAATTGTGTCATGTTCTGTGTTGCTTTCTGCTATAGTAAATTATAATAAGACTACATTTATTTCAAAGTGATTTTTGTTATAACCCCAAAGCTTATGGTTTCCACGGTTAGTCCTCTAATGAGGGTAGAGAGTCTTATAAATTTAATTTGATAGCTGTACCAGGAGACTCATTAGTTCTGCTCCAAAGAAATGTCTTACTGTATTAGTCTGTCAACTCTGCTGATGCTTGTGAAATGTCATTTTAAAAAGATCTACTACCTGTATGTGAAATATAATTTTGAGTCTGCTGTGCTTTGTACATCTTGTATATTAAATTTCTTGAACTGTGGCTGCAAAATTATTAGTCATATCTATTTTTGTTCTACTGAGAAATCAGAAAATTTCAAACCTTGATTGTTCTTTAAAAATGCATTAAAACATTTATAAGATCTAAACCCAAAGCAACTTAATCAAATTGAATTATATGAAAAAATAATAAGGAAGACTTTAGGCAATCAGTTTCTGAGACATCATGGAGCTAAAAACATGTTTGAAATAAGATGATTTATTTTCTAACTTTGATATAGTCAAATATAAGTTGAAGAACTTAGAAGGTGAAATTATCATGAAATATTTACCTTGGTCACTATAAGATTTTAGACTTACTTGAGCATAAAATAACCATACCGCTTTTGATATTTAGTAAACTTAAAACATTTCTTTTGTTTTTTAAATTTCAAGAGTGTGTTTAGTTCCAGAATGATCTTTTTACAATATGAAATGTTTCACTTATTGGTACCACACAAAATTAAAATTCTAAAAAATGTATTTTATCTTAAAAGAAGATAGAGTAAAATTCCTCAGCCACCTGGAAATTTGCTGGATGAATGTTGTTTGATTTTGAACATTTTCTGCTTGGCAGTAAATATACTTTAATGTTGAAGTCACTTTTGCAGACAAAGATTTATACAACAGATTATTTTATAGCAGATATTTGAAACTTGGGATAATTATTTAATAAAGTAAAAAAGTAATAGAAATGAGAATAGCTTTGGGGGCTAGAGAGATAGCAGAAAGAAGGGTTAAAAGTGTTTCCCTTGTTGTGTGTTTGATCTTATTCGAACCCCACAGTCTCTAGAACATTGCTTGGCAACATTGCTCCATACTTTAAAAAAAAGTATATACCTTTAAAAATGTTCATTCTACTTAACAGATTCAGGGTTTTAGGGTCTTGAACTAGAAACTCTGCAGAGACCTTCAGGGTTTTCGTCACCTACAAACATCATTCAGGTCTCCTGATACAGCCCTCTCTTGAGCACAGAAATGGTGATGCAGAATGTCATTAGCCCAGTGTAGCTCACTGTGACTGAGACAGAGGGTCCAGAGGTGATACCGATAAAGGCAGAGCTATTTATGCTGAATGAGACTAGGGGTTCAGAGGACTGATGCCTGAGTTGAGGGTTAAAAGAAAACTGAGAGTTTTTACAATAGATTGAAGGAGGAGAGAAAACATTATGTCCATGCACTTCAGTTCCTAAAATGTAGTCTCGAAAGGAAGATGGTTCCTACGTGGTGCTCCGGAGGCCCTTGGGGATCACCCCCAGTGATACCCTGTTATCCTGGTTGATGGTTCAGTTTGCAGGTCCGAGGATGTGGTGTTGCATGGATCCTCTGGTGTCAGGGATCACTAGGGCCACCCGGCAATGCTCAAGCACCTACATGGCTAAACCCTGCAATGCTGGGATGCAGAGGGGAGGGATATATAGCAAGTGGTGCCAGAGGTCAAACTGGGGTTGGGGCAACCCTCACCCTTCTACTCTCTTCTTGTTCTTGGAAAATATTTTTGAGACTGGAATTAATTTAGTGCGTATATGAACTAGATTGTTGGGTGAAAGTAGAAAGAGAATTTAGGAGATAGTCATGGAATTCAGATCACAAGTTATCTAAGAGGAATAGATGGCAACCAGATGCTTTTGTGCTCACCACAGAAGTCTAAATAGGAGAAAGAGACAGGACATGATTTACACTTTAGAAACCGAATTCTGGCATCCACAGAATGAAGTTTGTAGTGAGCAGAAGTTGTTAGCCAGAAGGCTGATCAGAGGCCTGCCGTTATGATCTCTTTGTAAATAAGCAAGTACCTCTACTAAGAGGAGTGGTTTTGAGGGAGGAGCTTTCAGTGTTAACTTCAGGAGAACATAGTTCTCTTATGGGTTAACCTGTTGGAAGAACCTTCAGTCTAAACATAGGAAAGGAATAGAATGGTGGTGAACGTATGTTGTTTGAGAATGTTGGGTTGGAGGGCCCAATCGGACTGAGTTTTCAACTCTCTCGTAGGTGTAGAAGTCTGGAACTTGTGTGAATTTTGGGTTGAGCAACAAGCAGAAGTCTTAATAGCGGACACATCCAGGTTAGGGGTAGTTTCTGTGACTACTTGCAGCCATGCTGAGCCTGGCTCCATGGATTTGTAGATTAAACCTGATGATGCTTGGGAACCACCAGGACCTCTTCCAGTGGTATTATAATGGGGAGCCAGTGTACACTGAGATGGACGTCAGCACATTAGATAGTCCCCATCCCTACAGGCCATATCCCTTACCCCAAGCATATGGTGTTGAGAGTGCTTGCCACATTAGATAAATACCAATGATTTGAATAATAGTTTTGGTTCAATTTGTAGGGCATGTAGTATAAGGGGGGGGGGGGAGTGGGTGAAGTGAAGATCAAGGGAACAGTGATTCTTTAAGGTAGAGATAAGGAATTTTGAAAAACGGACAAATAGAAATTTAGAATGGACTAACAAATAGTTACAACCACAGGCGATCCCATATCCTGATGTTAAAGAGAGGTCTAGTCATCAAAAGTGATAGAGAAGTTGAGTGTGAAAGTGTAGAAGCAGAATCCATCCAGTTGGCAATGAGATCCATCCAACATCTGGGAAGAACGTTGTTGTCAAGGTCTGGGAGAGAACTCAGATTGATAGTTGAGTCGCGGACACTTTAAAGTTTTGTTCTCTGGCTCTTTTGGTGTCAGTTGGTTCTCATGTAAGTTGAAATATCTGCTAAAATGTAGAGTGTTGTCAAGTCAGATTTTTTATGTTGCGGTATAAATGATGATCAAAATGATCTATTTTAACTTTTTTCCCTTGTCTTTAACTTGGCGAAGGTAGTACTTATCTCTGTCGACTGTGTCTTCTGTCTAGGAACTGGTCAAACACACCACCGATCCTTTGGAGAAGTCAAACCTGAAACTGGCTCTCGATGCAATGAAGGTAAAAGGCAAATTTCTCACAAACTTGTCTTCTAAATTTTTGCCTAAAAATAAAAGAATACATGCTGTTAATTCACATGTATGACATGGTGCTATATATTGCAATATATAGGAATACTTAGTTTCAGTTTTGTTGGGGGAGAACTGGGCATTTTTATCCTGACAAATTCTTTCGTAGATTTATTGTTAGATAACAAAACATAAAACCAAGAGATATATGAAAATGTCAGATATTTATGAAAGAATAGCAACTTTCATAATGTAATGGTCTTATTTCAGATGCCTTTCATGGTTACTAAGGGAAAACAATTTGTTTGAGTAAGTTGACAGGTCAGAGTAAGTGACAACTTCATGGAACTGGTCTCACATTTCCCCCACACTTACCATACCCCTGAGGAAAGTGAGGATGCAGAAACCAAAGTTTTTCATAAGTGAGGATGATCTTCCATGTTTACCTTTGTTGAGACTATGTATCTAGAAAGAGGATTTAGTTTGGGTCTCTGTCTTTTGGGTAAATCTGAAAATTAACTATAGTAGAATTGGGCAGAGTTTTTTTTTTTTTAACACATTGAAGAATATGGAAAAACCCCAGTTTCTGTCTTACACTAAGATGGCTTTGAAATATTTTCCTTAACTTAAAAATAAATAGTCTCAAAAAGAGAATGCCATTGCAACTCTTCATTGTCATGTCTTTAGCCACCCATCATTACTTATTTGCTTCTCTGTGCCAATTTCAGTGTCAGTTCTACTTTTTAGCTGATTTTAGTATCCTGTCAGGAAGCATCCGCACAGTTTCTTATTACTTTTTTATGGAAAGGTCATGCCAACTTTGAATTTTTAAAGAAATCTTTTGTAGGTATACCTATGAAAACCCCGACTTCTCTCTAGAGGAACTGAGCTAGGAACTGCTTTTCATGATACTTCTGCAGCTGCCGGTGAATTAAAGAGGGTATAGAGAAACGTAAAGGACTTCAGAGATAAAAAATAGGAAATCTGGAACACTTCTAATATAAATAGCTATTTGCTTTATGGAAAGATTAGCTAATGTTTCCCACTCTATGATCAAGGCCATTTTAAAATAAGTGAAAGCACCTGGAGAACTTGGCATTGGTGGCTCACTTCTGTTCATTTCAGTGCTCCAGAATTTCTTATTCTTACCTCTCCTTTGATTCTCTTTTGCTGACATTTGAAATGGAACCCAAACCTGCTTCCTTGCCTGAATGATCCCAGGAAGTAATACACTGATCGCAGAAAACAGCCCCTCCCAGGCTCATGGTCTAATTTGACTGCTTGCCTTATTCTAATCTGACTCAGGGATAGATGTAATTCTCTCTAGGCCACTTATTCAGCTGATTGGAATTTACTTTTTTTTTTCTGACCCTGTTTCCTGTGTCACTGCTCTGTGCGGTGGCCTGTTGTGTTTGCTTTTGTGTTTCCTGCATCCTCACTTTCTGCAGTAGTGCGGTAAATGACACCGCTTCAGTCTTCCCAGCTGTACTCCAGACATTTATAAATTGCTTTTGAGATGCAGCTTTGACTGATTGGACATTCACTTTTATTGTCATTGAAAAGTTATGGTGGTTACTTTTACCACTAATGGAATTAATAATGTGTTTTCTTTCAAACAGTTCTCATCTCTCCTCTAATCTTATTGTGCCTTTGTTTTTGCACCCTTCTCTTTCTTCTTCAGGACTTGGCACAATATGTGAATGAAGTGAAAAGAGATAATGAGACCCTTCGTGAAATTAAACAGTTTCAGCTATCTATAGAAAATTTGGTATGTGATTATCATGCTACCCAGCTTTTTCACTGCAAAGTGGGGGGTTGGTGGCGAGGAGAATTCTGAGTTGTTTTTGAAGAAAAGATAGCTAACTTCAGATTTTCATTGTTCCAAGTTTTCTTCCTTTTTCTTTTCCCGAATTCCTCTGTTTGAGAGTATCTATGTGGAGTATCAGTACGAATTCTAAGCATCGAGTCCTTTTTATTTTTCACTCTCATTTGTATTGACTGAAGATTTCTTGTTAAATTGGTGGGTGGGTGGGTGGAGGAGGGGCACAGAAGTGCACTTAGAAGTGCTCAGGATTTACTCTTTATTTTATTTTATTTTATTTTATTTGCGTCATACCTGGTGATGCACAGAGGTTACTGCTGGCTCTGCACTAAGGAATTACTACTGGGGGTGCTTGGGAAACCATATGGGATGCTGGGAATCAAACCCGGGTTGGGCCATGTGCAAGGCAAACGCCCTACCTGCTGTGTTATCATTCCAGCCCCTAATTTATTCATTTTAATGTGTATTTACTGGAAACTTCTATGTGCTAGGTTTTTTACTTGGGGTTGGGTTATAACTAAGAACAAATATATCTCTGTGGTTGAGAAGACTTTACACAGAGAGCAGAAATTTCTGTGTTGAGATCCATGCCATGGAAAGGGTGCTACAGTTGAGGATAATAATAAGAGTTTTGGTTAGAAAAATATCCATTTGAACACAAAGGATATGAAGCCAGTCACAGACAAGAATAACAGAAGCCATTGCAAGGGAAATCCTTAGAGGTGGGCAACAATTGGGAGTGTTCAAACAGCTGTTCCATGAGGGTGAATTCTGTATCATTTTATCCTTAACTTAAAATAGTGGTTGATACACTATAGATGTTCTTAAATATTAGCTCTGTAATTTCCTTGTAAATTTTTGAATTCATTCAGTTTTCTATTTTGTTAACTAACTTCCCCATTAGGGTTTTAAGTAAAATTATTTGGTGTCATCAGTATCCCTCCTGGACTGACCAAGGACAGACTTCTAAAAAGTATGTTATAGGGACCTGGGATTTCTTGGAGTACGTGTGTTTGAAAGTGAAAAATGTTAAAATTTATGATGGAATGCTGTCGCTGTGTCTATCAAATATATTCTCTAAATTTGTTTCTATTTCTGCCTGGTTATGATGAATGTTTTACATTTTAGAACCAACCTGTTTTGCTGTTTGGAAGACCCCAGGGAGATGGTGAAATTCGAATCACTACTCTTGACAAACATACCAAACAAGAAAGGTGAGGGTGAGGGGAGGGAGGAGCAGTGTTTACTTTCAAAATAAGGGATTAGTATCAAGAGAGGGAAGATTGAAAACATCTTAAAAACAGTTCCCTCAGACAAGGGAAAGGGGAGAGAGAGGCTTTCTAAAATTTTCTCATAAAGATTTATTAGGTATTGTCCTCCCTGCTCTGTATCTATTGATTTGTCTGAATTTAAGTTCTTAAGAAGGAAAAGTGAAGACAATCATAGTTAAAATGTACGAGTTATGAAAAGAATAGAAATAAAGTTACAACTGAAAACCATAAAAGCACAGTTTGATTTTCTGTTGTTGTTTCTTTTGGTATGAGGTTTAAACCAAAAACCATAGTGTTTTGAGAAAGAAGTGAAGACCATTCAGTGAGATTTGCTTGAGGGAAATTTCTGTTTGGAACCCTTAAAGATTAGTGAGCTTGACCTGGAGGTTCTAATTATACAGATGCAAATTGTCATAGGCGTCTTGCTGTTTAAAAGGCTCTTTTCTGGAACTTCTGAAGGTAAGGAAGTTAGCCAGCAGGGGGCAGCATCACCTCTTGCTTCTGCCAGGCACCCAGGCGCTTCAGGTTGCTCTCAGAAGCTGCAGATGCTTTCAGCTTCTGCAGCAAAACAGGCTTAGGAAATGATGCAACTGTTAGCGCGATGTGAATGCATCATTATCACTGTTTTAAAAAATGTATAGGTGTTAACACTGGTTTACAAGAAGATGCAAGTCTTGGTACTGGATCTTAAGGTTTTGAAGTATTTTTCCCACGGAGCACATTGATATTGACAAGGAAGAAGAAACATGCTAGCATATAAATTTAACAATTTTGCTTATACATCCCACAGCCAGTGGTCCCGGCAGTCCATTAGATCTCAAAGAACAACATCCTGTTTTTTTTAAAATTTAATTTTAATTATTTGTAATGGAATCACAGTGAGATACATACACAGTTACGAAGCTGTTCAAGATTGGGTTTCAGTCTTACAATTTTCCTACACCTCTCCCTTCAGTACATTTCCCACCACCTGTGTCCTCAGTATTCCTCCCCTCTTTTGCTCCCCTCTCCCAGCCTGCCTCTATGGCCGGCACCTCTCTCTCTCTCTCTCTCTCTCTCTCTCTCTCTCTCTCTCTCTCTCTCTCTCTCTCACCCACACTGGCTTTGTGGCCTCAAACAAGTTATTTAATGCCTCTTGGCCTCAGTGTCTTACCCAGTGAAATGAAGATGATAACAATACCTAACTCAGCAGATCGTCCTGAGGTCATCTTTGAGTGAGTCATTCTTGTGAAACTGAGTCATCTTTGTGAAGCTAAGTCATCTTTTTGAAAGGGGTGAATGCTTCTCCAGGCATTCTGGCTAATCCTTGGTACCCTAAGTAGAAGTGAAATGCTATAGTTCTCATCTGTGACACTGTAAATGTTCAGTTTTGCAATAAAGCAAGAGTAGTCGCTCCTGAAGAATGCTTTGTGGGCTTCCCTTAGTTGTTCCTTAAAGAGCCACCATCTCGTTCTTGCTATAATTTTGCCTAATTTTTAATAGGGGCTAGTCCAGCTGTGCCGGGAGAGATTTGGGGGAGAGACCATTCCCAGCCATCCTGGTAGTGAATGAGAGGAGTTTAGCATATTGTATCCAGCTCTATGGTACTCAGGCTCTGGGGCATTGGGTACCATGAGGGATACCCACCAAATACTCTGGGGCCTAGTGGCAATGGAATTTGAGCTTGGGGACTTGACTTGGAGCCTTGCACATACTAAGCACGTGCTCAGTTCCTTTAAGCTACACCCCCATCCCCAGATTTGCTTATTTTTCGTATTAAATGAGGAAGTTGAGGTGCTGGAGGCATTTGTTTATTCAAGGGTGATGCCAACGTACGTGCTATTCCTTCTACTCTGCACATGGCCTTTATCTTGAGCTGAAAGGGAAAATAGTTGATTTAATAAGTTCTTCCATGGAAGATTAATATGCATACTTCTGTCTCTTTTCTGTGTCCTCCCCCATGCTCCCCACTCTCCAGGCATATCTTCTTATTTGATTTGGCAGTAATTGTCTGTAAAAGAAAAGGTGATAACTATGAAATGAAGGAAATAATAGATCTTCAGCAGTATAAAATAGCCAACAACCCTACGACTGATAAAGAAAATAAGAAGGTAAAATTTTGGAAGCTACTAGATATAATTTACTTGTAACTTTGATCATATATTGAAGTATATGCATTTATACATTCAGGAAAGGTGATTTATTAATACAGGTGTTTAGTTTCTAGAGATTAACTAGGAGCAGATGTTTGTGAAAAATAATTGGTCAGGGCCAGAACTGATATGATTAACCTAATGCCTTAAAGACAGTGAAATGTACTTGGCATAGAACTTGTTGTATCTGTGAAGTGGAATATAATAAACTCAGTTATTTACACTGACAAGGTTTGACGATGATTACTTACGATGTTGAAAAAAAGTTGGATAGATGTTTAATGCGTGTTAACCGGTATGATATTAATTTCAACAGTGGTCTTATGGCTTCTACCTCATCCATACCCAAGGACAAAACGGTTTAGAATTTTATTGCAAAACAAAGGATTTAAAGAAAAAATGGCTGGAGCAATTTGAAATGGCTTTGTGAGTATTTTCTGCTATTAGAATATCTTTCTCTACTACTTCAATCTCTTAACAAATAATGACTATTCATAAGAAGTAACCAATAAATGTACTCTAATGCTTGTGGCATCTATAGAGATTGCAGAAATAATTTACTTTGAGTTTGAGTGCTCCTTGGCTGTTTGATAACTTTCCTCCCTTAGGAGAGAGTTTCTGATGAATTTTTTCAAGAAAAAGAAAGAGGGAGCTCTAACCTTCTGTTTTACTGCATTTTCTGGGCATAATCTACTTCTTTATCCTTCAGCTTCCCAAGAAAATATTAATTATCCTAATGATAAAATATTAATGTAATTATTATGCTTTATATATACTAAATATAGAACCCTCAAGCACATATTCATATATATATATGTTTGCAACTATTTTATTTTTAATAAAAAGACTGAGTTCTCCCCTGTTTTTGTTTTTAAGTCATTTCTTATTTGATTCCTGGATAAATGGCTTGACATATCCAATGAATGCTTTTAAGGGCTTGATTTCTTTCAGTGTTCTTTCTTTTTATTAAATTGGACGCTCAACAAAGAGGTAGGAAATAAATCAGACCTGCTTCCAAAGGAATGGCATAAAGAGATGTAATTACACGAGAACATTTCATTATAGGGGTTTCTTTTTAGTCTTAATATTTTACAGATTAAAGGGAGTATAATGACCCTTGATATAGGGACATGTAGGTCAGCCTCATATTGAAACTGTTAGCAAAAGATGAAATTAAGAAAAAAAAAAGAATGTGATTTATTTCATTTGTCTTCTAGCATTATTTACTCTTTCTGGACAAAGACCCAGGTTTTTATGTTTGCTTTGTTCTGAAGTATTTATGTTAATATATAGTGGAGATAGGAACAGAATATTTCATGGTAGTCTTAAAGACAAAAAAAATAGTTTTTTTTTTTACAATTTTTTTCTCTAATGTTGTGTTGCAAGGTAATTAAGTTTATAGAAAATTCTGGGCTCGGTTATAGTTACTATTACAAACTATGTTGTTTTAGCTAATTTATTTCATGCCTCAAGGTCTCAGTTTCTTCTTCTGTAAATAGGGAAACTAATACTCATTTAAAATTCCAAATGATATATGTCAAGCATGTAGCTAACCAAATAGTACAACAGTCTTCTGGTATTGAACAAATAATATATTATGCCTACTCTTGCAGTTGTTTTAATATGATTTTGTATTTATGGTCCTAACACTCTATGAGAGTAGCCATAGCTAGAGGACATCTCCGAGTGTACTTATGTAACTCCTATAACTAAAATAATTACATGGTTTAATTGCTGTATTTTTTTTTTTATAAATTAAAGCCTGTTTTGTGCATTAGTGCTGTGACTTTTTTTCTATGAAGTCCTCTTTGATTTTAGATACAAGTCATGAATCTGGTGGACTCTGTTCAGTTTTTGTCAACCCTTGGTCCTAATTACACCCGTAGTGTGCTGTTAGATTGACTTTTCACTTGATGGAGGGCACTTGTAGTTGAGAAATTAGAATAGGACTGGCAGTCCACCTAGGCTAGTTATAATGTGCATAGGCTAAACTGATCTCAAGCCTTCGCTACTTGGAGAAGGATGCTCGTCTTGCCTTATTATATGGGTCCCTTTCCTTGCCTTTTTGTACGGGTTCTCTTCAGCCATAAAACCTTTAGAGATACTACGGAATTCTTTGTGGAGGAGAGTAAAAACTCTTGCCCCAGTGGAAACAGGATCCTTGGGCTATTTTATAGCCACAACTACATTTACCTTTATGCTTAGGTTTTCAGTTGCTGTAAATCAAATAGTAAACACTATGTATATAGTATGCATGGATGGATGAATGCTTTATCTCTTTCATTAAGTAATTGGGACAGGTAGATGAGGGGTGGTTTGGCAGTTCTCTGGGTTATCATCAAGGATTAATATTTGAATCTTCTCATTTTGTCATTATAGACGTTTGTTTTCATCTTCCAGATTGGTCACCATGGTATCCAAGAAAGCTTATCCAAGACAGCTAGAAAATCTACTTTCTGGGAAGCAAAAGGTCATCCCTCTTTTAGGGCATCATTGTAAATACACGATATACTTTTGTTATATAAAACTGACAAGTATTTGACACCAGAGCGATACTGTAGTGAGTAGATCACTTAACCTCGCATGCAGCCAACCTGGGTTCAATCCCAGGTACCCCAAATTCTGTCAGGAATAATCCCTGAGCACAGAGCCAGTAGCACTGAGCACCATTGTGTGTGCCCTACAGACAGAAATCCACGAGAAATCCTACTGAGCAGGACTTAATCAGAAAGACACATATGACAAAGCTTTAGGATGGATTGTGCCTGGCTAGGAATTGAGGTTCAGTATGGACAAAGGGAGAATTGGGTCGTCTAGGGCAATTTAAGGTAATTACCTTACACTTATGCCCATAAAGGAATATGGATGAAATTTAATATTCTACCATAAGAAAGAGAGTTATAGAATACATAGGGATCCTAGAATTCTTAATATTTGAATATTTTCTAAGCATCTCTACAATATAATTATACACCCAAAGAAATGACTTTGTAAAAGAAATATGTCAGAGTTTCATTGACTGCTGATGGTGAGATGGTGGAAGTAACTTTTGAGAATTTCCCAAAGTCAAAGTTGAAGACTTCAATAAGAAAAATTATGCAGTAGTATCAAAATAAAATTAGCCAGGATTTTACTCAGCATCAGAACTTATGTTCTGTTCTTTTTGAAACTCATTGTGCAGGAAAATCCTGCTTCTAGCTTTTGCAAGGTGGCTCTTGCCTGTCTTGTGTTTAGGAAAATAAAAATAATTTAGGTAAGTGCTGAAGCTTAAGATTTTGCCTATGGATCAAAAATTGCTTTGTTATCCATTATGTAAGGCTCTAGTCCACTTATTCAGTAATCCCTGGAAAAGAAAACTAAGAAAATCTGCAGCATTCAGGGCAAAGCACAAAAAAACAATAAGCCACAGGCCCTTTCCCTCTTGTCTTTGTCATGTTAACCTTGGCCCCCAAGTCCTCCTAGAACACTCTGGAGTGTTGCTTTAAGGAACTCTGAAAAGAAAAGGAAGGCTTTGGTGAGGTGATGGCAGGAAATCAAGAAAGGTGATATTTTAAGACTGATGAAATGCTTGCCAGTTCTATTTACAGGAGATGGCAGTTCTGCTGTTTATAGGATGATTGGATCATTTTTATTTAAAAAAATTGTAGATCACCTTTAAGGCATTTAAAATATCACTCTTAATTTAGAACATTAAAAAAAAGACCATAGAAAGGCGTGAATAAACTGTAAGTATCTAGTAAACGCAAATCACCTCCCCAGTGGTGACCTAAATCTCAGATTCTTCCTTTCCCAGACACATCCCCGTCCTTGCTCCGTAGCAAGAATCTGAACTTCTTTGGCCACCAACCACTTCCAGATTTAAAATGTGCAGCGAACCACATCAGAACTTGGCAAACTTCTGTAAGAAAGGCTGAACAGAGAGAAAAACAGCAGTGACCCACTTGAATAGGGTGGCAGGAAGAAGGCCTTTTTCCTTTGTCCTGTTAGATCCCTTCGCAGAACGGATTGTCTTAAGGTTGTTGTGATAGTCACTGTTTGGAGTGACTTGTTGTTGTGAGTCAGATAATGATCAAGAGGCATTACTCTGGTGGGCCTGCTCTAAAGAATCTTTAAATCTTTAAGAGACTGATCAATTCATGTTGCTTATTCTCATTTATTCCCAAGATGGCTTTGTTTTTGTCAATACCAAAATTTCACATAGTTGCCTGTGAAATAGGATTGCACATTTTTTTATGCCGGTTTTTGTAATGATGACAGAAAATGTGTATGGAAGTCCCTATAGCTGTATTCAAAATTAGGAAGCTATGGAGAGCTAAAGAAATTGTACAGTAGGTAGGGCCCTTGTCTTGCATGCTGACTCAGGTTCCATTCCCAGCATCACATATGGTCCACTGAGCCCGCCAGAAGTGATTCCTGAGCACGGAGCCAGGAGGAAGCTCTGAGCACCTCCAAGTGTGACCCCCAAATCAACAGTAGGAAGCTATGGATGTTTCCCTCAAATAATTATATCCAGTTTGTTTTCATGAACCTTTCTGTTAGATTTAAATTAATAAATATTGTCATGCTGATTTTTTTTTAACTCAGGAGATGCTGCTAGCAAGCTCAGGAGATTTTCAGCAAAGTAGTACAAATTCAGTGTTGTAGGATTAAGAATAGAGTTCAGGGTTGAAGTTTATAGCACTTTCTTTATCCAAGGGAGTACTAAAATAAGTGATAGGAATCAAATCCTATTATCTAAAACTGGAGTCAGATGCCTTTTCTCCCTCTTGCTCTCTTATTCTTTTTTCTCCCACTGTGACTAGGAGGGACCCGGAGGATCAGACAGTTTCCTAAATGTTCCAAGAGGAAGTCAAAGTGAAATATGATAGAAACTATCACAGAATTAAAAGACTTGGATTCTTCAAGAAAGAGTTGGAGGAAATAATAAAAAATAATATAGGGGTAGGGAGCAGTGGGGGGAGGGGAGGAGCACTGCTTATATGTCTGTTGGAGAAAGTGGTCGATTCTCAACTCCCTGCTGTAGTGTACTGAGGTGAACTGAACTTTTTTTTTTTTTTTGCTTTTTGGGTCACACCTGGAGATGCTCAGGGGTTACTCCTGGCTCTGCACTCAGGAATTACCCCTGGTGGTGCTCAAGGAACCATATAGAATGCTGGGAATCGAACCCAGATCAGCCTTGTGCAAGGCAAATGCCCTACCCACTGTCCTATTGCTCCAGTTCTGTCAACTGAACTTTTTGCCTTGAACTGCTTCTCACTCGTTTGACCCAGTTCTTGACAGTTTAGCAATGCATATTTAATTCCTCGAGTATGGGAAGGCCCTTTGGGGATGCTTGCACCATTGTTACTCCCCTTGTCTTCACTGTGGACTATGTGCAGAAATGCACTGTAGCACTGTCCTCCTGTTATTCATCAATTTGCTCGAGA